CCACCCACCTGGCCCGTCTTCCCTAGGAATCAGTCCAACGTGAGGCGGATGCACACGGCCGTCCGGCTGAACGACGCAATTGTGAGGAAGTCACAGGATGCGAAGCTGGTGCTGCTCAACATGCCGGGCCCCCCCCGGAACCGCAAGGGGGATGAGAACTGTATCCTTCCAGACCACCCGGCTTACAGGGGGAGGGAGGGCAGACATTGGGGGCTGGAGGGTCCAGGTAGGCTGTGGAAGGGTTGGTGGTTTGTTGGACGAGAAGGAGGCTGGCAGGAGCTTTCATCCATGGTTTCTTGGGGTTCTCCCCTCGGCCTCCTGTAGAAAAGAGATGGGTCCTGGGCCCTGCTTGGCTGCCCAAGGCTGAGCGCCAGGATTTGCCAATGGCCCACAGTGGGCTAGAGGAGTCAGCCAGGGAGGCCCTTGGTACTGTAGGTCCTCGGAGGTGTCTTGGCAAGCTGGGCCAGAGCCAGAAGGCGTGGGCAGCCGAGGCCCAGAGGGCAAGAACAACTCCTACTTTCTTGGGGTCAGTCTCCTGGGACCTTCTGGACTCGGTACAGAAATGGCCAAACTCTCGAGCAGGCAGGGAACGGAGGGTCCCTGGTCCAGGTGCTGCAGGGCACGACCTTGCAGGCTGGGAAGCCAGTCAGGACCGGGCAAGTGCCGGGCAAAGGGCATGGGGGATTTGGCCAGGGCAGTGCAACATGCATTGGGCTCAGGCGAACTGTGGGCTTACCTAGGTCAACTGATGGCTGAGGGCCTGCATTCGCCCAGCCTGCCAAGTTGGCTTAGTTTTTGTGGCACAGGATCTCGGGGCAATCCAGTTCACTGCAGTGTGTAACCACTGAAAAGGGGTGAACCAGGAGGGCTGGCCCTATTTCCCAGAGTGCTTTGCTCCAGCAGCCACTGGCCCCACACATTTTCCATGCGGGGGTTCTGGCAGTGGACCGCTGCGTAGCTCAGGTCCCGACCCCCCAGGATCTTGGCCTTTCTCCCCAAAGCGCCTCCTGTTCCCAGAGATGAGGGCCAGCAAAGTC